TGACATTCTGGAAGGGCGGGACAAGCCGGGAACAGTCTCTGGAGTTGGCCCATTTTGCCTGCACCGACCGGCCGTGGGTGCAGAACCTGTGCCAGCCAGCTTCACAGCCACCTCCCCGCTGCCCCTACCAGAGCTCGTTCAGTCTGCACCAACCCCAGCAAATGCAATTTTGAGGACTAGTGACGGGTCTTTCTTGCTGGAGAACAGGGAAGCCAGAGCCTTGAGGATACTATTATTGGTACTCTTTGGAAATGTTACCTTTAATGTGTTCTCCAGGAGAGCAGAACAATGATTTTCAACCTTTTTCATCTCATGGCACACATAAGCTAATTTCTAAAATTCTGTGGCCCACCAATTGTCTGACAAAAAACAAAGTATAATTTTGATTAATTTGCACCAGATGGCTATTGTTGTATTGACTGCTGTCTTTTTTACAATCTAAGGGAAAAGAAGTCAGCGCTCCTGACTAAATGGTCAGGTATTGCATGTTTTAAAAATTCTTGCAGCACACAGGTTGCAAATCGCTGGAGTAGGGGAATAATCCAGATCTGCACACCTCACAGAATGACTGTGGATAGTCTTAAAGGAAAGGAGAGATGGATTCAACTTCAGATCCCAGAAATGCACCTTTCCTGTCAACTTTCTTCTTGGGGATTTAGTTAACTCTGTTGTGAAATGCACTTTTCCATGCTGGTATTTTCAGTTCTATCACCAGTCCACAAAATTGAAAGAAAAAAAGTCAAAAGATTTTTATGTCTTTATTCTTTTCATCCCACCTCAAGAGGGAGAAGTGGAGTGACTGTCAGCAGGCACAGGGGAATTCAGCCAGGTTTGCTTCAGAGCAGGAAATTCTGGGTGAGCAGGCAACCCTGTGCTGGGCCCAGTCCAAGCCCTGAGTAAGTGCTTGATTTTGGGTTGTTATCACTATTCTTTACAAAGTTTTGTATACATTAAAAATCCAAAGAATCATATTTTTTTTTGCTTCTAGATGGGATCTTCAAGAGTGCCTCTGTTAACCTCATTTTCTAATGAAACCAGATCAGAGTGAAGAGAATTGTGCAGGTGGTTGTGCCAGCCCAGGGCTGGTTGCCTCTGGCACATTCTGCTCTAGAGAGTGCTTTGGGACAGTGGATATTGTGTCTTCAGTGATACAGAATCTAGGCTTGGAACACTGATTCTGCTGCGGACCAAAAGTAACCCTGAGCAAATTAATCTCTGAACTTTAGGTTAGTTAAAATTGTAGTCAGTTGTTACATGACAAGTCAGTACTGAGAGGATTCCATGGCACAGAGTAGGAGTTTGATAACTTTTGAAGTTCCTTGACCAAATAAGGAAGCTGTTGTTCCTCACTCCCATCTGGTACTGATATGTTTTATTTCTCTCTTACCTCAGGCTCCTAGAGGTGTTCATGAGCCGGTGGTTAGAAGCAGGGAGAAACACAGATGTCTTCCTAGACCCAACCTGGCATTACTGGACAATGGCAGCTGAGCCAGGGGTGACCAGGTCCCTGAACTCTGTAGCCTAGGCTTTGAGGGAACCAAAGGAAGACAATTCCTTGAAGCAGATACATCTGTCACAGGAAGCCTTCTCAAACTTTGGGCCTTTGTAAAACCTCTCTTTCTTTTCTCTGCTATCTCAGGGTGACAGATAGCCCAGGGAGGTATCCAGTCTGCCCTGGGAACAAGGCCAGAAGTGAATAAAGTGAAGAAGAGACACCATGGGAGAGAAGGTGTTTGGCCAGCTGAAACAGATGGAACCTGTGCAGCAGAGGCTGCTCCCCGGCACTGATACTGTCAGGGAGGCCCTGCAGGCAGCAGTGAAGAGAGAGTGCTGGTGGACAGCCTGGGCAAAGGTGAGGAGACCAAGCTGTAGAGTGGGGTCAGGTCCTGGCAGCAGGTTTTTCATCTGTTCCCTGTCTACACATCAAATGGAATCTCAGGCTGTGTCAAGCTGAACAACACCCAGAAAGGGGCTACCAGGCCTTTCTCTGTTCCCTGCATCACCCTGGCATCCTTCATGGAGTACTTCCTGAAATTTGTCAGAGTGGCAACCTTTTTCCCTTTGCTTCCCCTTCCTATTTATTTTCAGTGTATACTCCTCCCTTGTCTCCTGTATTTTTCTTCTCTCCATCTTTCTTTTTCATGCATCACATTTGCTGGGTTTATTCCTGTTTTTCATATTTCCCCCCTACTTCCATGGTTCTGTTTTTCTCTTTGTTTTCCGAACCTTGAAACCAGATGTCTATCTTTATGTGTACAGACTCCTTGAACCTCTCCTGCTCTTCCAGAAGCCAGTCACCTTTGAGGATGTGGCAGTGAATTTCACCCAGGAAGAGTGGGAATGTTTGGATGCCCGTCAGAGGGTCTTCTACCAGGATGTTATGTCAGAGACCTTCAAAAATCTGGTGTCTGTGGGTAAGAAGCTGGGGTTCCCTCAACAAATTTCTTATGCTAGGACCTTGTGACATTTGGTTTCCCTGGACAGGCCAATCAGCTTACATGTAGCTTCACTGACCCTTGGTTCTCATGTGTGACAGATCTGGGTTAGAAAAGAAATGCAAGTCTGCCAAGGTAACACTGGTAACATGATAACAGTGTTCTCAAAATCTGCAAACTTACTCAGTAAGTATTGATTCATCTAATAATACTTACTGAGTCACTCCTGTTAAGACACTTAGTTACACACTTAGTTAGGAGCTTGTCTTTTGAGTGTCTTCCCCTGCATCTATGTGTCCAGATTATTGTTCTTAAACCAAAGATACAAAAGAAAGTAGCCTGTTGTCCCCATTCAGTGTACAGAGACCAAGCCTGGGTCCTCAGTTTTTTTTCTCCTTCCCACTCACCCACTAGAATCTTTCTGTCTAATCCAGATCTGATCACCAAGCTTGAACAAGAAGAGAAACAGTGGAGAGCAGATCTCTGTCCCCCAAATGGAGAAGGCCTTTCTTCAGGTAAGAAAGAGATCATCGGCTCGAGTCCCTTGGCTTCAAGAAGATGAATATATAAGCCATCAAGACAAGTGAATTATCTCCAGTTTCTAGAGATTGAGGCACTACATGTAGGTTGCTTATGTCGGTGATACTCTTTTGATGCAAGTCCTTTTCATGAGAAAAGGACAGAAAGAGGGATGAACTTGATGCCAAGCTGGAGTAGGGGAGACTTGTTCCTGAGAGTCGAGTAAGGGCTCGAGAGAAACTGAATGAATGCCAGGCTGACTGCCTCCTGGATGCCAGGAAACCCAAGTTTACACCTCTCATCTTAGCTTGATTTTTAATAGCACCTCCTTTCACTCATACCCTTGCCTGCATGATATGTTATCAAAATGGGAGGAAATAGATTTCAGAATATGTGGTAATGGGTTAAAATTTTAATCTGATATTGTTGAAAAGTCCCAGTTAAACTTTTATTTGGTTTTAATTTGAAAAACACAAGAAATTATTCTTAACTCTAGCCCATGAGGTCTAAGAGTGAGGCTGAATGTTCTGGTTAGAAGAGTGAGGGCAGGAGGAGGGAAGGAGCTTGGACTGAATGGTGTGTTGGGGCTCTCAGGGTGAATCTTGTTGCACTGTTCTTCCTTGTTCATTATAGGAAGCAAGAAGGAGGAACTTCAAGAACACAGTCAGAGTTTGAGAGATGAGGACACTGGATGCAGAGGGTCAGGCCTATCCTCTGCTCTGCCCGGGCCTGTGGGCAGGACCCCAGTGTTTCCAGCATCCTGGGCTGGGCCACCCTTTCCCTGCCACATCTGTGGTAGGTGTTTCAGTAAGCGCTCCAACCTCCATTACCACCAGTTTGTCCACAATCTTAAGGGGACAAACAACTGCAGCCAGTGTGGGAAGTCATTTCGGAACCCCAAGGCCCTCGGCTACCACAGACGCATACATCTTGGGGAGAGGCCCTTCTGTTGTTCACTTTGTGACAAGACCTACTGTGATGCTTCTGGACTGAGTCGTCACCGCCGTGTCCATCTGGGTTATCGGCCCCATTCATGCTCCTTCTGTGGGAAGGGCTTCCGGGACCAATCTGAGCTCAAACGCCACCAGAAGACACACCAAAACCAGGAGCTAGTGTCTGAAAACCAGAAGCATTTTGTGACGATTCTAGGTACCACAGCTGGATTCCAGGAATCCACTGTCAGGAGCCAGGGGCTTGTGGCTGGGCACCACACATCAGTGACCAGGACCCAAGAACCCATATTTAAAACCAAGGGTCCTGTAGCTCACCCCCAGCCATCCATAAGTAGAAACCAGGAATCTGCAGCCAAGAACCAGGTGATCACTGTGAGAACTCAGACACCAGTTACCACAACCCCAGGGCCTGTGACCAGGACTCAGGCAGCCAACTGTAGAGTCCTCTGCCTGAATTCCAGGTCCAAGTCTCACCTACCAAAGCCTTCAAGACTCAAGGTTTTCTCTTGCTCTTATTGTCCTTTGACTTTTAGTAAGAAGGCCTATCTCTCCAGGCACCAGAAGGCCCACCTCACAGAACAGTCAAACTGCTGCTTCTGCTGTGGCAAGTCCTTCAGCTCATTATCTGGGCTGGTCATGCACCAGCAGACTCACTGGAAGCAGAAGATCTACCGTTGCCCTGTCTGCGACATCTGCTTTGGGGAGAGGGAGGATCTTGTGGGTCACTGGGGGACATACAAAGGCAAGGGGCTGTGCTTGGGAAGTCCCCATAAATGCTGGGCTGTCCTGGGCCAGTGGCTTGGCCTTTTTCACAATGGCTCCCCTATGGCAGGGAAGGAAATGGATCTCCTAGGATCCACACCCCCAGGAGAGGGGAGGGAAGGAAGGGAGAATGTATGCAGAGGAAAAGAAGGAAATGAGGCAGGCAGGGTCTTGGAACATAAATAAATGGCCTTTCTGACTGAGGCCTTTCCTTGTGTTTGGTTTTCTTGATGACCTATAGAGTAAGGAGGCTGGTATAGAGGAAGAGAGGAAAGGACAGTAAAGGACATGCACAAAGGAAAAGGGACAGGAAGTGGCACGTGGAAACATGTACATTAGCACCTTGCTTGTTTATTTGTGTTTCAAAAAAGATCAAGCAGTTGTTGAATAAAACAGTGGATACCCTGATAGGTATGAAAATGGGAGGAAAAGGATGAGACAAGGGAGGTCTGAGGGACTTATCTGTACAAGTTGTGGGAATAAAAGGGAAGCCTTCTAAAGCAGGTGGGTAGCCCAGGTTGCATTCTTTGTTCCCAGCTCCTCAGTGGGTTTCAGGGACAAGATGAAGCTCTGGCCAGTGTCTGTGGATTTCTCCCTGTGTCCTCACTCTGCAGCTTATACAGCTCTTTGATGTTTTGGGCTCATCATGTTCATTTTCTTCCACCCTCTACTCAGCCCTCTGGGACTGAGGTCTTGGAAGTAACAACCACCATTTGCAAAATTGGCATGCTGTGGTTTCCACAGAGGAAGTTCCTGGTCTTCAGTTAGTGTCAGAGACCCTCCTGTGCATTCTTCTCCAGCACAGGTGTCCTCTGATGAGGAGCATCTGCCTGACTTCCCGATGAAAGGCAGAGGAGTTGGAAAGATGCAGGTAGAAAAAAATGGGGAAAGAAAACAGCTGGGAAAAGGTAGATGACAACAGAGAAACCCATGGGTGCATAGATAAGGTGAAACAACAGATCAGTGTTTATCTAAAAAAAAAAGTTTAGAAAGAATGAAATCCTATTTGGAATTTAGAGCATTCCTGGAAGTGCAAGTGCAACATCCTCAAAGATCAATCTTTGGACCAGCCAGGCTTTTCTCCACTTTTGTCAAGATGCAGTATCACTCAGAAGGGGTTTCCTAGAAGGAGAAAATATCTTGAAAAATTTGTTAGTAGTTTCTATAATGAAACCATTAAACCAGGGGAAAGCCCTCTGGGGTCATCTTGTCTCTTGTCTGCCTCAGTGGGTGATCTTGGAGCTAAGGCATTGGGAAGCTGGCCTAAGGAGTGAAATTTTTCCCCAGGGGCACTGAAGATGGCAGTGCCCCAAGCTTTGCCTGCCACCTGTAAGGCTGGCAGAGGTGGCTCCTACCTCATAGGAGTCCCCCTTCCGCCCATGCAGCCCAGCCCCTTCTTTCCTCTGGGATTTCTATCCCTCAATAGCCCCCTCTTTCTCTTGCTGCTTTTCTGTGTGGGTTTTTTGGTTGTTGTTGTTTAGTGTTAATAGGAAGGAGGAGAAAACTTACTTAGTTCTTCAAGAAATTGCCCTGAAAACAAAGAGAAATAGGTGACTGGTGGAAGATGACTAGCTCCTTCTCTACACCCTCCCTGTGCAGATCCACAAGGACCCACCCTTCCCTTTTCACTAAGAGACTGGATTCTCTGAGAATCCTGCAGTTGGCCCTGGGGACAAAGGAAGGAAATCCCTGCCTGCATCTGGAGCCCTGGTTCATCTTTCTGTCTCGCATTCTGGACTGACTCAATCCCCCACAGTTCAGTGGTCCTGTTTGTCACCCCACCACTGCACCTGCTAGTCTTCGATGTAGCCAGTTGTAGCAGATGATCAAGGCAGCCAGGGGTCCAAGAACTGGCACGATTACAAACAGGGTTATCTTCCAGCAGGGCACCCTCAGAAAGTGGGGATCTGAATTGTCCACCGAAAACAAACAGGATTAACCATGCTCTCTCCTCTCCATAACGTATTGGGGTTCTTAAGATGTTGCATAAATCTCAAAATTTTGCATATGTTTATCAACCTGAACAACATTCTAGTGGGGCTTGGTGTCTTCACTTTTCCTCCAAGAAGCCTTCCCCGATTAATCATGTACAGTTCTTTTTGTACTAATGAAAACACCACCACAAGAGTTCAGTTGGTTGTATATGTCTATTTGTTCTCCAGTTAATTCATGTGTATGTATCACCTCCCCAACTAAACATCAAGTATTTATTCAGAGGATCTGTTTACCTCCCCTTTGTATTTCCTGAGAAGAGAAATAGTGTACACAATGTAATCCCTACAGAGTGAATTAACAGGTGAAGTGGTTAGTACACTCTGGAACATAAGTGTGGTGTACGTATTTACTATTATCCTAGATACAGGCGACTTATTCAAAGAAAAAGAGTGGGAGAAGACCAACCACAAACCAGGGATCCTTACTTCCCCAGGTGACTGGGACCAGTGAAATAGCTGACCTGGGAGGACCAGGTACCGCATCACTTACCAAAAGTCCTGTGAAGATTCTCTGAAAAGAACAAATGGAAAGAGATTTAGAAGGCATTCAAAAGTGATATTTTTTCCTCTAAGTCTTTGTTTTTTAATCATTTAAAATTATTTCTTGCTGGGATTATGCAATACGAGGCAAACTAGCATTTTGTGTCTATCCTGGCTCAGCAGGGAAGATAAATGAAATTTTCTGTCATTCTGAGTTGCTTTGGTGGTTTTAAATAGTGAATTTTCTACCTGAAGGAAACTCACGGTATTGGGACAGAGGCTAAGGTGTTCCAAGAAAATGACCATTTTTGTCATTCCCAAAACCAAAAGGGAGGGATCGAGGAGGGAAAATGCCTGGAACTCACCTATCTCTGCTCGAAGTTTTCCTAAAATAGAAAAAGGCAACATTTTTAGTTCTTGCTCTGGCATGAGTTGGGCCCTTACATACCCAGTGCCCCAGGCCTTTGTGTAAGCTCTCTGCCTAGTCCAGGAGCATCCTTTGGATGGAAAGAACACCAGACTTACAGCCACCAGTTCAGGCTGTTTCCCTAGCTATTGTCTGGATTAAATATTGGGATAAAGAATGTGGAGAACCTCAGGTGGACAGCGAAGTGGCAAATCAAGGTTTTATTATCTTTCTCACCCCTCTTTGCTCCTTGGTTTTTCTGTTTTCATTGCCACTCCACCCTGCTGGGTTGTCACTTTGTAAATGTAAATAAAGGCACTTCCCATTTGAACAAGGAAGTGAGGAACTAAACATTTAGTTGAACAGCTACTTTTGACTGGCTCTTTTCTAGGCACTTTACATAACATTGTCCCCTTTAATCCTCCCTTACCATTTAGGAGGGAGGATGTGACCTGTACTTGTCAGGTGGGACAACTGAGCTGGGATTCAAACCCAGGCTGCATAATTCATTGATCAGGTTCTTTCTGCTCAGCACGTGGACTGAAGGCCTTTTTTATGTGGGATGAATTCAAGGGAAGAAAAGAGGCCCCATTTTTGATGCCACCAATGTCCCTTCTTCCCCTTACTCGAAGCCCTCATTGCTACTTAATCCTCTTAGGAATGGGAGGGGAAAGAATTCAAGGTCCTGGCGTGCTTTGGCTTTGAGAACATTTCAGGGGTGGGGGGCGCGGGGAGAAGGCTGGGAATGGAAGCTTTAGGCACATAAGAGGAGCTTCACTGAGAGCTAAACAGGGTTTTTAGTGTTGAATGGAGAAGAAGGAGCTGGTGAATACCTAGTATGTGGTAAGGATTTTCACTCGGTATTTTTATTTAACCGCCTAATAGCCTAGGCCTGTCTGACTCTGAAATTCACTCCCCCAGGTATGTGAAAGTGCTCCACATGGTGCTGGGGCCAGAAGATGGGGCTTAGGCCTGCGCTCTGCTACTTACAAGCTGTCAGGTTGAGTAAATCAGGGAACCACTCCAGGCCTCAGTTGCTTCCTCTGTAAAGTAGGGCTACTATATGTCACCCTACCTCATAGGGAGATGCAAGGTCCTATTATTTACACAAAAGCATTCTGTACTGTATAAAACCTGTCATTATGGAATTCTAAACCAAGAAGTCATTAAAAATAAATTTTAAGCCCTGGCTGGCGTAGCTCAGTGGATTGAGCGCGGGCTGGGAACCAAAGTGTCCCAGGTTTGATTCCCAGCTAGGGTACATTTCTGGGTTGCAGGCCATGACCCCCAGCAACCGCACATTGATGTTTCTCTCTCTCTCTCTCTCTCTCTCTCTCTCTCCCCCCACTTCCTTCCCTCCCTAAAAATAAATAAATAAAATCTTTAAAAAAATAAAATAAATAAATAAATTTTAGCTGATCAAGGTCTAAGAGACCAGCTCATTTCAGGGATGGGCCCCAAGCTGTCCCCACCAGCCTGTACCTCTCAGTCTATGCTGCAGGCAGAGGAAGAGCAGGCCTGTGGCCAGTTGTAGGAGGAACACAGGAAGGACTGCCATGGCAACCAGCACTCCAGGACTGATCCAGTAGAAGGGATCTGAAAGCAGAAGTGCATGGCCCAGTGCTGTATCCGCCCCCGCCCCCCCCCACCACACACACACAGTACAGTGCCCACAGTGAGATAAATCAGGTCAAATAAAGGAATGACTATCACCAAGATTCAAAGAAGATGGCACAGAATTGATACCTGGGCTTAGTCCTGAAGGAAAAGAGGGTTTCTAAGGAGGGCTGGAGGTTAGACCAACAGCATTCAAGGTTGCATATTAGGCTAGTCTTGGAGAGTTTTGAGAACAAGCTAAGGGACTTACAGCTACTTGCAGCTAACTGTACACGGACAGATTCCAAGCTGAGGAGTGACAAGAACTGGTCACTGACCACAGAAGTAGGGGAAACCCCAGGGAAGTTAGTTAAGAGGGCATGGTAATAGTAACAGTAAAAACAGGAGCCTGAACTTGGGCAGTGGTGGAGGTGTAGGAAGTCAAGGGGTCTGTGAACTTAAATTAAAAAAAAAAACACCTTATTTTTAGTAACATTTAAGCTGAAATTTAGTGTTTCTTTCAATCATAAGCAACACACTACAATAATATGAACAAATATTTCATAGTTCAGTGTTTCATAGCACATTTGAGTTGTAGAAATCTCAAAATATCACTTATGTCCATCATCACTTTGAAATTGCACTAATTATCAGGGCCATCCCATATCTTGTTATTTTAATATTTTGGTAACTATTTTAGTACAAATGTGTTTTATTTTACACATTTAAAACATCCTTCTGTGAAGGGTCCATCATCACAGTCTGCCAAAAGGGTGCAACGTACACACAAGGGTTAAGAACCCCTTTACTGGAGCTTTTGAGAAAGGAAGATCCACAGAATTTAGTAACTGAGCATATGTACAGTGGGATGGGTAATGAGAGAGAGGGTTCAGATTTCTGGTTCCTACCTCCTTTCCATTCTAGAGTCTGCTCAGCAGTGCCCCCAGCTCTGTCTGTCTAGTCTCAATGTGCCATGCTGCGTCCAAACTTGCTCATCTTGCTCTCTACTTTAGGGCGCTGGATAAAATACTGCCATCAGAGTTAAGAATTAAATCACAGCAAGCAACATTAAATGGGTCAGGAGGGCCCTGGCCAGGTAGCTGAATTGGTTAGAGCATTGTCTGGATCCACCAAGGTTGTAGGTTTGATCTCTGATCAGGAAACACAAGAAGCAACTAACAAATCAATGTTTTTCTCTCTTTTCTGTCCTCTCTCTTTCAAATCAATAATAAAAAAAAGTTCATTTTTAAAAAGAATAAATGGGTCAGGAGGTTTTCTTAAATATAAATACAAACAGAAGAAAATGCAGCAAAGTCTATTTTCAAGTTGTTATCTGAAGTTACCTGTAATGGCATGGTTAGCAAGCACATATATTATTAGTTCTTTTTTTGCACACTTTTTTTTGTCTATGGCCATACCACCCTGAATATGCCCAATACAGATAATGTGTGATGGAGTTGCACACTTGGAACCTGTATAATTTTATTAACCAATGTCATCCCAATAAACTTTTTTAAAAGAGTAAAACAAAAAAATGAACACATTAAAGATCATAACCACAGTACTATTACCACATTTTTTAAAATTAACAAAAATTTCATAATATCATGAATATCCAGTCTGACAAATTTTTCTAATTGTTTCATAAGTATTTTTATATTTTATATTTTTCTAATTGGTTTGAGTTGAATCCAAACAAGGTCCACAGTTGGTGTTTTCCCTGTAGTGTTTCCCATGGTCTAAATATTGCACTGTACAAAGTCAAGTCTCCTTCTGTATTTATTTATTTATTTATTTATTTATTTATTTATTTATTGGTCATATAATTTTTTTAAATCCTCACCCAAGGATATTTCCATTGATTTTAGGGAGAGAGAAAGGGGGAAAGAAAGAGAAACATCAATGTGAGAGAGAAACATCGATTTGTTGTTCCACTTATTCAGGAGTTCACCAGCTGATTATTGCATGTGCTCTGACCAGAGATTGAACCCCACAACCTTGGTGTATCAGAAGGATATTCCAACCAGTTGAGCTACCCAGCCAGGGCTCTTCCTGTCACCATTCATCTCATCCCTTTACTCTTTCCTACCTTCCCCCACCCCAGTAAAGTATTCTTATATTTGAGTGATACACACTTAAGGATTTAGCAATGAAATGATAATGCTGCCTAGGATTTGCCTCAGTAATTTAGTTGGGGAGGGTGGTAACGAGAGGGGTCAGGTGAAACAGTTTGCCTTTTGGTCATAACTGTTGCAGTCAGTGATGGGTAATTGGAAGCTCATTATTGCTATTCTCTCCATCTCTGTCTATGTTTTAAAGTTTCATAATGAAGAATTTAAAGAAAGGAGTAAACTATTAATAAAACCACACACAAAAAAAGAAAAAAATAAGGTCAGAGAGACAACAAAACTCTTTGGTGAAGGAGGGGCAGTAATGACATCTGAAACTTGCAATAATACAGTTATTGCATTTTAGTCCTAAATTTGCCCCAGTTTTCTGGCTTAACAGGCTAGGTGGTCCATTGTTTAGTTGTGAGACACTCTTTTTATAGGCTCTTGGGCATGCAGACTATGAGATGGGAGCAGAAGGCCTGGAATGTGGAAACCAATCCAAAGGAAAAATTTCTCCCGAGGCAAAGTTTTTACATTACTTTTTTTTTTTTTTTGGCGTGCTGGGGGTGGGGGTGTACTGTGGGGCAGTTATTGAACTAGGAAGTTATTGAACAGGAAGGAGGGAAATCTGCAAACTAGAGAGGTTTTCAGTATTACACTTCTTTGCAGGTAAAAATCCACACCCTTCTCCCCTCTAGAAAAAATTGCTGTATGAAGAACATTCTATGACACACAAAGCTATTCATATCCCTGCACTCTATCTCTAGAAATGGTGCTTTGTTATCCTGCATACAATGCCATCATCTGGTCCCAGCCTGTAGCAGTCAGCCTGGAGATACAAAACTGACCTATTGTCTGATGTTTTGCTACAGGTGGGGAGGAGGGAAAGGAGAGAAAAAGAAACAACTGAGGCTTGGGCCCTCAGAACATTTTTGTCCTTCAATTAAATAGCAATTAACTTTCAACCTGGCTGGTAGTTCATTGGTTGGAGGTTCATCCAAATAGCCAAGGTTGTAGGTTTGATCTTAGGTCAGGGCACATACAAGCATCAACCAGTGAATGCATAAACAAGTGGAATATCAAATCAATGTTTTTTTTCTCTCTCCATCTTCCTCTATCTCTTAAAGTCAATAAATAAATTTTTGAAAATAGTAATTAACTTTAAAAAGTCCCCTTTCACCCACTTTACCTTGTCTATAATTTAACCATCCTGGGATAAAACAAAAATAATAATAATAAATTGCAAAGTCATCCATCACACAAAACATACTGAAAATGAAATTCTGGATAAAGGGAGTGGTGGAAGTAAAATCTCTCTCTATATAATCACCTATAATTATATTCAGATATTTGTTTCAACTGTTTATTCAGTTCAACTATGTTTACCAGGAATATATTTTTCATAATGTTTCTTATCTAACAAAACACGTCAATTTTGGAATTCACTGTAATTAATAGGATTTGGTCAATTTGACTCTTTAGGAATAATCCTCTTGTTTATAACAAATAAACAAGGTCATACTCCAAAGCAAACAAGAAGGAAAAAAGTCATTTGCCAACTTTGATTAACTTTCAGGTTATTCATATTCTCCTCTAATAGCACACAGTAATCAGGAACTGATTATTTTGGATTTTGTTGCTTCCATTTACCACTTTTTTCTATTTTTGTTTTTGTTTCTTTAAAAGATTTTTTTCTTTAATTTTTCTTTATATGTACCCATGAATGTACATTTATATATACTTTTATATGAGTGTATAAATATGATCATAAGGATAATTATGGTCTTTTCTTTTATGATCTTTGGTTGGATCACACCCCAGTTTCTTCTCCTCTCTTCCCTGGAAGTGAACCATGTTAACTTTCTTATGGATCTCTTTTCATATTTTTCTCTGAGATATACATAATATGTTCACAAACATAAGGTTTTGTTTTTGTTCCCTACATTTGTACCTTGCTGTTGTCACTCAACAATACCTTGTGGAATGCCTGTGAGCCATCTGTTATAGACCTAAAACAATCTTTTTAACAGCTGCATAATATTCTCAGTATGGATAAGAACATTTATTCACTCACTTGCCTACTTGTGGGCATTAACTTTCATCCTGAGGTCCTCTCCCATTTTGAATAATAACTCAGAATACATCTGTAAATACATAAATGCTTCTGTACTGATGTACATATTTCTATGGAATTGACTGCCAGGAAAGAGATGTTTGGGTTGAAGGAGCTCATATCAAGTAAGAGAATGATTAAAATCTCAGAAGGAGGTCTTGGCCACCCAACAAATGATACTTACTAGTATATATGGCACTACTTACCTTCCACTTTCAATTCCATTGCTGCCTCCTCTTGATAAGAATGATCTCGGAAAAAGCAGGTAAAACCTCCTTCATCTGAGAACCTTACATTCCTGATCCTGAGGGTCACTTTTCCCTCACCAATACTGTCTTTGAGCAACTCCGTCCGGCCCCGATATTCAGGTGCTTGCTCTCCATCCTGATCCTTGCCATTTCGGTAGAGATGAACCACCCGAGAGAAGGGGGGCCGGTACCATCCCACCTCCATGCCTGTAGCATTCCTTCCAGGAGATAAGTGACATGGCAATTCCACTTCATGCCCCACCAGAGCCCAGATGGGATACCCTGGTCCTATTACTCTGAACTGTCCTGTCCAAGACACCAAAGAAAAGAAACTGAGCATCAGCAGGAACGTTGACAAGCCTGTCATGGGAAGGACTGATTCATAGCAGGAAAAGAAGAAGATATTCAGTTTTTAAATGGAGTTTTGAATAATTATTTTAAATGGCATTCTAGAACAAGGAAAGAACTCAATTTTTCTTCTTGAATATTTATATAAATATAAGACCTCTAGTTATAGAACTATCATGAGTATCCTGAACAGAACATTCTGGCATGTGGTCATCTTGACAGTTGCTGCTTACCTCTATGCCAACTGTGTCCATCCCTGTTCTTCAGCCCAGCCTTTAGGTCCCATGTTGAATCATGGTCTAATTTCTTACAGTTTAATTCTTCATGGGCCTCCCTGTTTGGACTTGGCCAAATTGATCCCTACTCTCTTCTAGAGGTTTTACTTTTGTCATTCCTTCACTGGTGCCTCTTCACTGCTTCTCAGTCCTCTGTCCTTGCTCCCAACCTGTTTCCAAATACTTTTCCACTGAGACCTTGTACCCTACACTGGCCATGGCTCCATTTCCTTCTTTTTTTTCTTCTGCACCTCCAGCCCTCGCTACAGCTCCTGGACCCCACCCTGTACACTCCCAGTCTCTTCTGACATGGAATGTGTCTCCTCAGTTAGATTCAGGGCTACTAGAAGATAAGGCTGGTTTCCCCATACACCTGCAAATGTTTCCCTGGGGAGGAGTGCAGGGACTGGGCCTCATCTGTTAGGGGCTCCTTGAGGTTGGGAATCTGTCCTCTGTTTTTTTTATTACTCCCCAGCACATGAGCACAGAGTACCTCTCCAAAAACTTATTAGTGCCTGATCATGTGGAGCAGACCTCCTAAATGTGAGAAGATATTATAATCCAATAAACATCAATTGCAACTTACTATGGGATAGGCATTGCTAAGCATGTTATGTACCTCATTTCACTGAACCCTGACAGCAACTCCAAGAAATTGTTATTATATCCCTATTTGGTAAGTGAGTAACCAAAGCTAAAAGATGGGTAAGAATGAGTTCAAGGAGAACCTGGAGTTAAGTTAGGGTTCTATTCTGAGAGCTATAGGTAACCATGGAAGTTTTCTGCAGAGGGGAAAAATGCCAGCACATCTATGTTTCAGAAAGATAATTTACATGGCAACTTGAGGATGAATTGAAGCAGGTGAGTCTAGGAAAACTGGCCTTTCTGTTCTCAGGGACTCCCAGGGCAGGAATAAAGATCAACCTTACCTGCATCACTAGAAGACAACTGGAGGAGGAGGAGGAGGAGGCAGGGGAGCCAGTTGGGCAGAGAGGAGCTCAAGAAACTTGCCATTTCCACTCTCACTGGGGACACAGACCCCCTGCAGCAGGGTCAAGACAAGCAGAGACCTTGGGGTACATGTTCCCCACTGCTGAAAAAGCCTGAGGAAGGATCTGGGAGGGCAGTGTGCTGGCCTCGCCTCCTCCTGGCGTGCTGCAGCTGTGCTCAGAGGAACACTCCCACGTCATCCTTGCCAGGCACTTACACAAAAGGGCTACAGACCTAGGCGATGACCAGGGTTTGCCTTCCCACCCCCTCAGAGCTACAGAGAAGAGGCTGCCTGGTACCAGGCCTTCCTCCCCTACTCCCTCCCAGTGACCCAGCCTTTGAAGGGGCTCCTAGGATCTGACCATTTGGAAGCAGGACTCATTGGCTTTCAGGCTTGTCCATGTAGTGTGTAAGGCTCCTTCAACCTCTGTCCTCCTAGTATTAGCCAAGGGAGGGGGATCATTGTTGGCCTTTAAAAAAGAAAAAGAACCTTTCATCTTGCTCTCTTCTTTCTACTGCCTCATAACTGTAACTGCCAAGTCATTCTTCTTCATGTCTATCTTCCCTTTCTCCTAACTTGGACTTTAGGTCTCCTAAATCCAAATTCCCTTCCTTATGTTCAGATGTATGATGGGCCACTTGGGCTTGGTTAGTAGCTTCTTGCTCCCAAAGAATACATTTAGGAAAGTCATGAGTTTGTAGGAGAGGAATAAACTTTACCCTCAAGGTTCTTTCAGCAGGGCTAGTAATCAAATAAACATGAGAAGATTAGCATGGGAACCCTGTATACATGAGAGAGCCAGAGACCCCACATACATGAGAGGTTCAGGGAAAAAAGTTAAAATGAGACATGTATGGCATTCTGAGCTAGGGCTGAGGTAAGGTGTCTCAGGGACTTTAAAGGGTTATGGCAGGATGATAAGAACAGCAAATGTTTAGTAATCAGAAATTTACCCTGCCCTATAGATAGGTAAAAAAGGTTATCTTTGATAATCCATTATTTTGGACACAGCCCCTAATTCAAATACTTCTAGGTAGTTAAGGGGGAGGACAGAAGTTTCTCTTGAGCCCACAGTGTCTTGGTTGCTTGTAGGTCAAAACAATCCACACATGCTAGAGGTACATCTGGTGGTGATGTAACAGGGAATAAAAACTTTATACTACTGGTATGGGAGTAAAAGATATAAAATTGTACTGCAACAACAATTTAAATAAAATTTAAAAAAACTTTATACTACTGTGGCTTATCATGAAATAGAATTAGAATAAGATGTACTAACAAAATGAAAGAAAGAACTCACATACTGACAGTTTTTTTTTAAGCACATTGCAAGCACCAGCAGTTCCAGTTCCTGCATGTATTCAATACTAGAAATGGGCTTGACCACAACTTCTGTCAATGCAGATCACCCCGCTGCAGGAATCTGGCTGGCACTGACCAGCTCCAGTATGCTGGCATTAAAGACTCATATTGGGACCAGAAAGGACACTGACTGCATGTCCACAGTCTCTCCCCCTGATCTCTTTGTTCTCCTTGTCCCTCTCCCTCCTTATAAAAACCTCTGCCTGCATTGAGATGTTAAGATGGGCTTTGAGATGAGAGCCCATCTTCCATGTTGCTGGCACCTGAATAAAACCACTTTCCTTTACATCACCACCTGCCTCTTGAGTTTTAGCCTTTGAAACAACAGGTAGCTGGACTTGCGTTTGGTTACAGTGACTCCTTATTCTCTACAAGTTGAACATCAGAAGTTGATGGCCGCCTATGCTTAGAGACAAAAGCATAAAAGGCTAGCAAGGCCAGCAGCTGTCAGTCAACATAGCCAATGAGGACAAAGCCAGTAACCAGATACATCCCTCTAGCCTTGGCACCACTCTCTGATTTCCACAGTGTCATAGGGGAAAGTGAGATCTGGAATGGAAATGGAAGTTTTTTCTCACCTTCTGAGACCAGCTGATTACTGAAGGATGAGACCAGAATCAGCACTAAGCCTGAAAAAGATATTTCCTAATCTTAAAGCAAGAATGCCTCATTAAATAACAACAATAATAATATAATGTGTCAGACAGACCATTTAAACCATGCTGTCTAATATAGTAATCACTAGCCACAGTATCCATTTTAAATTAAAATAAAATAAAATAAAAAATTCAGTTCCTTGATTACACTAGCTGTGTTTCAAATGCTCAGTAGCACATATGACTAGTGGTTACCACATTGGATGGCACAAATATAGACCATTTCCATCATCACAAAAAATTACATTGGGAAATACCATTCAAGGGCTAGGAACATGACTATAGATTTTTTGTTTGAGATGAGCACCAGGGGCTAGAAGAAAAGACTCTAGTCTGCTGGGAGTTACTTATTTTTTCTCCCTGAAAAGCAGCTAGAGTTTGAGCACATGCACGTTGAGTACTCTGGAGTTATGAGAGTAAAAATCAAGGTCAGGAGGGGTGAGTCAGGAGGAAAGAGGATCCTCTGTGCAAGCCTGAATTCTTCTAAAGTGGAGGAGATTCTCTCCTTCCAGAATCTAACATGTTCTACAGTGCTCTTCTATGCTGCATGTTCAGGTTTAGGCAGGAGTGTTCTGCACAAGATGCTTTCCTGGGCAGTGTTTGGGGGTCATGGGGTGCTGAAATCATCCAGCACCAGTCCAGTTGTCAAAATCTGGGTAAGAGATCAGGGTGGGATGGTTGGGGAAGCAGAGAGGGTCAGGAGCTAGACAATCAAAGCCAATTTGGAGAAATCACAGCATCTCTGAAAAGAAAAACAAAAAAACCTCATGTGACTGAACACTTCCACGTGCCACCATCTTAAGCTGTTTATATGTGTTAGTGGCAAGAATGGTACCAGGTGTTCGATTGGTAGGGTCATACTGGATCTTGGTTCAGCAACCTCAGTACTTGAGTTCTGGATAGGAAAGAGTTCAGAGCCAAGACTAACTATAAGAAAAAATTTATTTAGAAAGTCACAGAGGTAGAAGTGAATGGTAGAAGAAATGGGCTCAGGAAACAAATTACAGAGGCAAAAGAAAGATCCTTGGAGCTAAGAAAAGAGGAGAATAAAGGTAACACCCCAGGGGGCAAATTGAGCTAGGGGAGAGGCTTTGGCATGCTCCCAGGAGTAAGAGTGCGAGTGCTGGATTGTTCCTTCTAAAAGATTTTAAGGGTGTAGATCTTAGGGGAGGACCTCTGTATAATATTCATCAGCTTTCCAGGTGTGTCCTTTCAGGGGTGTGGTCTGCACTGACTGGTTGGTGCCAGGGTAGGGGGTCATTATTCAATGCAGCTGGTCTTTATGTCAGTCCTGGCATCACTTGTCTGGTTTTGCTGCTTTTCTGGGCCTGCCGTTGAAACGCAATTGGGGCCTAGATGTATTTGATGTGGGTTCTGACCCACATTAAGCTCCTTGTCCTGGAGCTTAATGCTTAAGGGCTGTTCTCCATCCTTCTTGTTTGTACCCCCTCCAAAGAGGTCTAACCCACATGACTAGCAATATGCCAGTGGTAGAAAAATCAAGGGAGGGCCTGTACCAATGACAAGCAATATGAAAGGCAAGGGAGTCTAAACTGCATGACCAGTGATATGCTAAGGGAGGAAAGGTCACCCTGGGTGCTGAGGTCCTCATTTTCCAGGATTGCCTATTGCTAGGCACCCTAGGCTTTCCACCCTAAAGACCTTCTATATCTGGCCTATTGTCCTAGCTCTGCTCGTATGTGCCTAACTGCTTACCACACATGTATGAACTCATTTTACCCTTACATAATTAAAACAAATGTTGCCTTGGCTGGTGTGGCTCAGTAGATTGAAGGCTAGACTGTGAACCAAGGGGCTGCATGTTCAATTCCCAGTCAGGGCACATAGCTGGGTTGCAAGCCAGGCCCCCAGTAGGGGGGCAACCATGCATTGGTGTTTCTCTCCCTCTCTTTCTCCCTCCCTTCCCATTTCTTTAAAAATAAATTAAAAAATCTTTTAAAAAAAGAATGTTAGACTGATATCATTCTTGTTTTATGGAAGAGAAAACTGAGGCACAAAAGAAGTCACTTGTTCTAGGTCATACCACTAGGGAGTGGAAGAACTGGATTTGAAGCCAGGCTTTACAGCTTCTTTTAATGAATGTGCTTTTTTAAAAAAAATTCTTTAAAAATTTTTAATTTAATTTAACTTAATTTAATTTAATTTAATTTAATTTAATTTTATTTTTTAGAGAGAGGGAAAGGGAGGGAAAAAGAGAGGGAGAGAAACATCAGCGTGTGAGACAAACATCAATCAGTTGTCTCTGGAACACACCCTGACTGGGACTGAACCTACAACTTGGGCATGTTCCCTGAATGGGAATTCCATTTTGCTCTGCCATTCGATGCCCAACCAACTGAGCCGCACTAGTCAGGGCATACATATTTTTTTTGTTTGTTTGTTTGTTTTAAGATTTTATTTATTTTTAAAGAGAGGAAAGGAGGGAAGAAGAGAGGAAGAGAAACACTGATACGAGAGAGAAACATTGGTCAGTTGCCTCTCGCATGTACTCCAACTGGGGACTGGGCCTGCAACCTAGGCATGGCCAGTCCCCATGTGCAATGACTGGGAATTGAACTGGCAACTTTTGCTTTTCAGGACAATGCCCAACCAACTGAACTATGCTGGTCAGGGTTTGTTTGTTTTTTTCTTTAAATTTGTCATAGGTGCTTTTCCAGATCTTGTAATGACTATACCTCTCATGTCTAAAGAGCTTACCTCATTCACCTCCATGACCTTGACTGCCTCAGATCTCTGGAAAGAAGATGAATATCTGGAGTTAAGGCAAGCAGTTCTTTGGATGAATCTTTGGGCAAAGGTGATATAAACAAGGGAAGGGGAGAGGAGCCACCAGAAAGAACAAATTCAGTGGTGTTGTCATTTACAGGAAGCTGGGGTGTAGGAACATCCAGTCTGTGCTGGGCATGGAGTATGGTATAGCTATGTCTAAGGAGCACTGCTTGTGTGATAAGGGCAGGTTATTTCCTTAGGGTTAAATGTTACTTTGACTTTGTTTAGCATCTCTTATGGGATTTTGCAAGTGTTTTCAAGTTGTTTCTTGTGTGCATTGCACTCCTCAGTGATTTTGTTAATCTGCATCTCAC